AAAAAAAAACCCAACCTGGAAGAAATATCACCCTTTTCTTTGAAGTCTTGAAGTAAGGTTTGAAATCTTCTGTTTCCAAGCACTAATCATGCATAGCAAGTTATACCCATTTATTGTTGTTTTTCTTCTCCTCCTTGATGGTTAAATGCTTTCTTCTCACCAAGAAAATACAACACCATAAATAGCTGAGTTCCTGGAGAGAGAGGCAATTCTAGAGAGATGTCTTTTAGCTCTTTTATTGATCTAAGAATAGTGCATTGGATCAGCAGCAGAGCATTTTTGCCAGAGGCAGACTAAGTCACCCGACACTGTTCTGTTGAATGCACTGTAAGAAGATACTGAGCACAGCTTTCAGTTTGAGTGGAATTTTTCGGGTGGTTATTTTTGTTGGTTTTCGGTTTTATGGAGGGGATGGGTTTTGTTTTGTTTTGTTTGTTTGAGGTTTTCTGTTACAAGAAACAGAACATCCTGTTTTGGTGCAAATCTCTGCTACTACCTCCGTACTGGCTGTTATCTCCTCACTCCACAGATTCTGGTCTCAACTTGTATCTCCTTTCCACATTCGTCTCTCCTCTCCCTGTGCCTTTTTTTCTTTTCTCTGGCAGCACGTCAGAAAACCTGAACTAATTGATCTCGTAAATCTTATTAATGATGATCACTTAGTCACTCAGCTCCAGCAGCAACAGAGTGCTTCAGGAGCAGAACGCGGTGTTTTTGTGCCGTTGCTGCATTGGGTTCTGTGGAAATACATTTAATTGTAAAGAGAAAGGTGTGTATTCACTGTCCGTGGAGATACGTTTAATTGTAAGGAGAAAGGAGTGTGTCCTGGGTGCAGCTGGGTCACTGTTGCTTTTCTTCTAGCTGCATAAATGCAATAGTGTAGTAATGTGTACTAATCCATGAATTCGGGTGCAAGCGGGGCTAGGAGCGCCGGCCGGGCTCACCCGCGGCCAGCGCCGCTCCGCTCCGGCCGCTCCGCTCCGGGTTTTCCTTCCGCCTCCACAGCGCGAGCGCGGGGCGCGCGGAGCCCCGCGCCACAGCGCCCCCCGGCGGCGGAGGCGGGCGGCGCCGCCCCCGCTGTGGCCGCGCCGGGCCGGGCCGGGCCGGGCCGCGCCGCTCGGTGCGCTCCGCTCGGCTCCGCTCCGCTCCGGCGGAACGGCGGGGCCATGGCCACCCTGCGCCGGGACGGCCGGGTCACCGCCCTGCAGCGCCTGGGCTGCGCCGGGCTGGCGGGCGCGCTGAGCCTCAGCCTGACGGCGCCGCTGGAGCTGCTGACGGTGCTGGCGCAGGTGGGCACCTGGCACTGCCGGCGGGGGCTGCGCGGCGCCGGGCGCAGCCTGTGCCGCACCGAGGGCGTGCGGGCCCTCTGGAAGGGGAACCTCACGGCCTGCCTGCGCCTGTGCCCCTACAGCGCCCTGCAGCTCGCCGCCTCCCGCCGGTAAGCGCCGCCCGCGCGGG